TATTACAACTTGGGGGTTCGTTTACTACTTATTTGGTAAAGATTGTTACCTTTAAAATGGTAAGAACACATAATTAAATGTTAATTTGATTACAAAAATATTTTTTTTACATAATTGAATGTTAATTTAATTAAATTAAATCTCATTTTGTATACTTTTAATAGTCATACGAAATATAAGTGTTGATAGATTCAATTCCAATGTGTTTTATTATATTCATGAGATTGAATATTAATTTATTTTTATTTTTATTTTTTTGGAAAAATTTACCACTTCTAGTGAGTAAGATTACCACTTTTAGGGCAAGTGTACCATGTTTTGGTTAATATTTATTTGTAATTTATGGTGGATAATTTTACTACTTTTGTGTAAAATTAAAATTTTTTTTAAAAAGATTACCACTATTTTGAAAAAGAATACCACAAATTGGGATTAGGTTTAGCAGATTTTGTGGGTAATATTATCATTTTTTGGTTAATATAACAATTATTAAGTTAACCACTATTTGAGTAAGGTCACCAATTTTTAGATAATATTACAACTTTGATACATTTACCCCTTTATTATTTTTATTTGTTTTATGCTAGGATTTTATAGATATTTTTTTAGTTAAATATGTTACGAATTTATTTATTTTACTGTAACACTTTTTTTATTAAATGATTTATTCAAAAATTTTCAAATTTCTATTTTTTCGGGAGGCGTCCCCAACACGCTCTACACGCCTCCCAATAAACCAACTCTTCACTTCTCTCTCTTCTCAAACCCTTCCCCTCCCTTGCCTGGAATCTCTCTCTCTCTATCCTGTCTTTCTCTTTCTCTGTCTCGCAGCACACATGACTCGATAGCACCACAACGCCACCGCCACAGAGCCACCATCTTCAAGGTATTACTCTCTCCTCCCCTCTCTACGTCCTCTGCTTGAAACACACATGCACAAACCCCCTTTCCAATCCCTATTTTCAATACACACACAGACGCAAACCCACCTCCCCCAAAGCTATCCTTCTGCACAGACCCCCCTCTTCACCTCTGGACAAGCGCAACCCACCCCGCAAAACACACACAGAACACCTCCTCCCAAACTCCCCTCTTACGCAAACCCCCCTTTCCTCCTCTTCCCTTCTGCGCAACCTACCCCCCACAACCTAACCAATTGGTGTTTTGAATGTTACATTTTTTTAAATAAGTTTGATAAGTTTTGTTATAGTTTGAATAGATGTTATAGTTTGGGTGTTTTAGATGTTAAATTGGTTTGAATGTTATAGTTCTAGTGTTTTGAATGTTATGGTTTAATTTTTTTTTTTATTTTTCCATATGGTTTTCATAATAGAGTTTGTATTGAATGTTATAGTTAAAATAAGTTTGAACGCTATAGTTTAGGTGTTTTGGATGTTAAATTGATTTGAATGTTATAGTTTGATTTTTAATTGAGATTTTTCATAGAGTTTTGATAATAGGGTTTTAATTGAATGCTATGGTTGTTAGTTGTATGAAATGGGTTTGTTAATTGTATCAAATTGGATGTTAATCTATAATAAGATAAAGGGTGTTTTTGAATCTCCACCAGAAAAAAAAACTAGAGTTAAAACCATGACCATCTTTCTATACTTTAAGCATAAGCTGAGCAGTCATTACGTTTGAATGTTATATTTTTTTCAAATAAGTTTTGTTATAGTTTGAATAGATGTTATAGTTTGGGTGTTTTAGATGTTAAATTGGTTTGAATGGCATAGGTCTAGTGTTTTGAACTTTAAATTGGTTTGAATGTTATAGTTTAATTTTTTATTTTTATTTTTCCATAGGGTTTTCGTAATAGAGTTTTTATTGAATGTTATTGTTTAGGTGTTTTTGATGTTAAATTGATTTGAATGTTATAGTTTGATTTTTAATTGGGATTTTTCATAGAGTTTTGATAATATGGTTTTAATTGAATGCTATGGTTGTTAGTTGTATGAAATGGGTTTGTTAATTGTATCAAATTGGATGTTAATCTATAATAATAAGATAAAAGGTGTTTTGAATCTCCAAAGTTGGGAAAGCACAATGATATGAATTCACTATATGCCCATCTAGTTGGCTGAATTTATGCTCGATAGTTTTTTTTTTGATTTTGATAACTGATTGATAGTTATCGTGTAATCTTAAAGCATGCTTTGAATAATACTTTTGATGATACATAACATAACCACAAGTTGAATAATGGTGAAGATGGGTTTGAGCACTTTGAATATTTAGTGTGTTCATTAATATACTCATGATTATTACATTTTTGTTGAGTTGCATGCCTTTCAAATTATTGGTTGGATTTGTGTGCTTAGATATATAAATATTTGTTTGGTTGTTTATGTGTTGTGTATAAAGTTTAACTTGATTGTACTATTGTTATTATGTTCAGTCGAACCAATTCATGGTTGGTGCTTGATTGGTGGTTAAATTTGATTGATATTAAGTTGATTTAATGGGTTTTTAGGCTTTTGTTTTTTAATATTTGTAGATATTTTTTGTTTTGTTGATACATGAGTGTAAACTTAGGTTTATATATGGTATTGAAGGCATAGAAAAAATCAATACAAATTAAGAGGGCATATTGACATTATGTTCCCATATACTTAAAGGTAATAATGAGATCTATTATATAGTATCAAAATTAAATCTTGATCCCTTCTTTGGGATGTGTCGATTGTTATATTGTACCGTACCTGAAGACACGGGTTATTACTATTATGTATACAAGCAGGAAATTTCTAGATTCCTATTTTAAAAGATAACTATCCATTTTTTTAACCAAAAAAATTGTACTCTTAACAAAAAAAAATTGTAATTTACACATGGTTTCACTTCAAGGTCGCTCTTTTTGGTATGTGTGTAGATTTTGAATATGGTAAATTTTTGTTATGATTTTTCGGTAATTAATTTGTTCATTCATATTATTATTATTTTTTTTTGTTTGGTTTTTTGTAGCTTTAGAAGAGCTAATATACAAGTAGACACGTACATTGCAACTTGGCAACTAATTTTGATCTCTCAATATAACATTTTCAATACTCACTAGAAATAATATTCAACATTAGTCTAACTTTTTTAATACACAGTCGAAACATTTTTATCATTGGTGCTTGATTCGTGGATAAATTTGATTAAGTTATACTTTTTCATAGGTTTTTATGCATTTGTTGATACAGTGATTGTAAGATTAGGTTTATATATGGTATTGAAGTTGCATTTTGCATTTTGAATTATTACATTTAAGATTTTTCAATTGATTGCTATTTTTTTAATTAGCGCATACACAAACATTCACACACACAAACACTCATACACATTGACTCGAAACATTTTCATCATTGGTGCTTGATTGGTGGTTAAATTTGATTGATATTAAGTTGATTTAATGTGTTTTTAGGCTTTTGTTTTTAAATATTTGTAAATATTTTTTATTTTGTTGATACAATGACTGTAAACTTAGGTTTATATATGATATTGAAGGCATAGAAAAAACCACTACAAATTAAGAGGGCATATTGACATTATGTTTCCATATACTAAGGTAATAATGAGATGTATTATATAGTTACTAAAATTAAATCTTTATCCCTTCTTTAGGATGTTCGATTGTTATATTATATTGTTCCTGAAGACACGGGTTATTACTATTGTGTATACAAGCAAGAAATTTCTAGATTTTTATTTTGAGAAAAAATTATCTATTTTTTTTAATTAAAAAAATAGTTCTTTTAATCAAATAAGTGGTGATGTTAGCAAAAAAAAAAATGGTATTATGCGTCAAGTCGAATTCTCTATTAACCTCGATTTTTAACTTTTTTGTACACGTTCACAAGACGGACATTAATAACATTAATTTTTCGACGTCTAAGTCTAACAATTGCTAATCGTAAGATTTGACATTGAAAAACTTCTGTTGTAGTAATAAATGTCCAGCGCCACTCAGCATGCTGAAGGATAAATGTTTCGAAGCCATTCTCCTCTGGGCATTAATTATCTGTCGTGTGCTCGTAAGGAGCACTTATTACATGTTGTAATAGTTTCGAGGGTCTTTCCTATGATTAGCTACAGACTTTTATCATGCTTGATTTGACAGCAGGGGATAATAGACCCATTCTTGCTGACAGTTGAGTACGGATTCTTGTAAATCTTTTTCCTCATTTATTCCTAAATAAACATCTTCACTGCAGTCCCAACGAACATAGCTCCCCGAGTGATGTCACCCCCGAAAGAACTCTCATATGTTATTACAACTTTATTTTTCAAGCGACATCACATTTTTTGCAAGTGAGGGAATTCTGTCGTCCTTTTATCGTTATTACTTTTCCTCCAAATGACGTCACATGTCCATTTCTGACTGATCTAACACATCATGTGCCGTCAACCATAAAAATGGAGACTTTTTCAGTAGAGGGGAGGTGAACTGATCAACTTGCTATCCATTCATGTTCAAAACCGTTCAATTCTCTAACGACTATGATGGCAAAACATCTGTCACAGAGGACATTTATCGTCACGATCCATCTCTTCGATTACAAACCTTCTATCATTGATCCTTCGATAAACTTAAGTGCTGCATGGTTAATAGTATTAAAGCTTCATCATTTCGATGTCCCCCGCCAAAAAAAAGAAAGAAGAAAATGCTGCAGCATCACAAATCGATCAGTTAGAGGTACAAGATCACTGTTCTAACAAACAAGTCTCCTGGACCACTAAGAAATTTTGATACTCCATGTGTTTTTTGCACTGTCATAAAGAGAGATCTCAGCATATACACAGACAGCCACAATCAAACCCAAACACACTAATAAGTGAGATACACAGTTATCTCCAGTACAGTCTCCACTCCATCAGAATTGTGCTGGTTTGCTGCACCAGGAATGGTCTTGACCGTGGCATAGCCCTTAGCATTGACATACTTCCCAGTGCCACCCATGATGGCAAGGTGGGATTCCGAGACTGCCATCCGATGAACACCGAAACAGCCTAGACTATCAGGCATAACCGCTGCTGGTAAACACGGCATTGAAAACCATGGTATGACTTGACCCATCTTCTGAGCTTGCAATATAAAATCCTTGGCTCTTTCCAATCAATCCAGACCCGAGTTCATGGCCTTCGGTTAATTCATCTTCGAATACTGTCATTGTCCCAAACATGAGCTTCTGGAGAGTGGCCCCAGCAGGGAGCTGGGCACTATTCAGGACCGGGAACCCAAAACAGCCTCCAATAATGTTGTTACCATTGTTTTGCATCACATTAGATGTGGTTCCACCGAGTCCAGTGAGGAAGGGTATGTTATTGTTGTTAATAACTCCACTGCTGGCATTGTTGACTGGAACACCATTGCTCACTGGGAGGACAGCACCGTTCGGCTTGGCAAACGGTTCTTGATCACTGAGAGCCATGTTGACTACCATCCCGATCACAGCTCTTGCCGAGGGGTTTGATCCACCAAGAACGACATGCATGAAGAAGGAAAGTATATGATGTGCAACTAGCGGCAGCAGCTGGGGCAGTACCCACTGGACTTACACCGGAAACCGGTTGTCCAACTGAATCGGATGCCTCGGGTGCAACTACTGGCGCCGGTGGTTCCTCCTCTTCAAGGATCCGAGCTGAGAATGCACATGTGATTGCCAGGACGAGGAAAACTAGGGAGACAACGGCTTTGTGTGGAAAAGGAAAGAACTTTCTGGTTGCCTTGAGTTTGACAGAAGGATGTGAAGCTTTTGGATACTGATGTTTGAGGTGCTTTCCTTTGGGTTGGTTCTGATGGGACACAATAGTGTGGCTCCTAATATATACTCTACAATGAAGCCTGAAGTTCAGAATTTAGATGAAGTCGATGAAATGGAGTAGGTGCTTGTGTTTCCCATTTTCTGGGTGGGTTGGTTAGAACTTTGTAACACTAAGTTTGATGTTTAAAACAATCACCATAAAATATCATACCGATTTGCATATTGTTCCTATTCAATTCTATTCTTGTCTTTCATGTAAACTATCTTTTTTCGGCTACGTTTATTTCATACAAATGTTTCATATTTACCCAACATTCTATCATGCAAGAAAATAACTTAAATGATTAATAGCTATGTATATAAAACATGCATCTACAGTAAGATCACCTTCTTACCAAGTTCACTATTCTCATAAACCTCAAGCAACATTCCTCCCTTTATAACCACCATTCTAATGTCAAATCGGGAAACAACTTTGACCATGTTTTTACCTTTCAATACATTCCTTCAATCTACAACTTCCAGACATAGGCCAAACTGATCGATCATAAAATCATAAATTTCACCTCCTCACCAGAAGCCTGAAAAACATGATTATAATGACAGAAATAGTTACAAGCACAAATAGGAAGAGCACCGAGGAACAAAGGTGGACAGCGTCTCGTATACAAAAATACTGCTGCCCGTTGGTTAAGAAAATGACTGGTGTAGAAAAGAAATAAGAGGGCAATTTAAAGCCATGCATCAAAATTATCAGTCCATACGCTGCAACATCAGAACTATGTCAAAAGGGAAAAATACCATGAGGGGGTGTCGAATAATGGACATATTGCAGATGTTGCTCCCGTGGTCACGGGAGAGCTGAAGCCGTACGTGTGGGATGCTCTTCCAGCTCTCTCCAAGTGCTGGCTTGAGAATACCTCGCTCTCCAGCCACCATATGATTAGTCACCTTAAGTACATCATTCACAGTTAGATATTAATTAAGCATCTGCATTGTACAATAAGACATAATTTGTATTTACAAAAAGTAAAGCTTGAGTAAGAATTGATCAATGGTATTCCTGTTACGTCTAGAGCATGGCGTACAAAGGAAGAGATCATACTATTTTTTTACGAAGAAGAGATCATATTATCTATCAGGCAAGACAATGCAACTGTAATTTTAAGTGCAAAACCTACCAATACAGCGAAGTTATGCTGTTGTGCTAACTTCTTTAGTAAAATTCCAGCAGAAGTCATTAAAGCACGTCCTGTTTTTCCCAACCAAGGACAAGCCATTACTTCTACAGATAAAGGTCATAACATTTTTCCACAAATTAATGAATAGGCCTTTATCATTGAATAAAAATCGACTAGGAATAAAAGAAACATCAAAACGTGCTCACAATCAACAATTTTCCCACATGCATTTTGAGTTTAAATAAACAAAAATAAAATGTCTTAACTGAAAGGAAAACTTCTTGATCTTGCCAAAATCAACTACTTGCCAACACAAGCCCAAATTCACTGACAAAGTATGATTCAAAGGCCTTCTGTGGATAGTTGGTCTAAAAATAATCCACAATTGTGCAGATAACTACTACAGATATCAAACACACAAGACAAAGAATTTTATGTAGGCAAGATATTTGGTGGCAGAACATTTAAGCGGTGTTCGATATTCTTTTTTGTTGTAGGAGTGTCACTTAACAGTAATACATCTATGAGTATGTGTATAGGAATCCATTTTAAATTGGTTGGTAGAACCCATACACAACTTCCATTCCATACTGGTTTATCTATATTTGTGCATCCTAGCCTTCCCTTCGAAAGAGAAAAGGCTTGCCATTTGGTTTGGGCACTGAGAAGTCTGAATTGTCTCTAAATTTGATGCCAACAGAGCAATCTACAGACAGAAGAAAGATAGTGCATATGAAAGGCACAACTGCACAACATAGTTCGAGAACTCGTGTTATTGTCCTCTAAGTTCTATGATTTTTATTAGAGTTTGTGTGTGTTGGGGCTGGGGGATCCGGGGGTGGTGGACTAGTTCGGGAACTTTTAGGTATGCTTGACGAAGATCTTCCCATGCTGCCCTTCAAACTCTCGTAACATATTTTTCTAAATTAATTAAATATTGCTGATAATCATTATTCATTTCAGCATATGTATGAAAAGCCTAACACATCCATTTGACTAAACTTCCTAAAAATATTAGAAAACTGTTTCACTGTGATCCTGCCTTATCCTGAAAAGAATCATGATATGCTTCATGGATGTACAATATGAAGAATGTACATACACTTACCACGCTTTTTTTTTTGGGTCAGCACTTACCACGCCCAGTAAGATGAAAAACACCAAGCATGTGCATGTTTACATTTTACGAATTCTAAGAATAATATTTCAAGAAACCGTAATGTGCAAATTACATGGAGCTTTTAAGCAAATAAAAGAGATAGTCACAAATAGTCAGATAGCTGTTATGTGCACACAAGTAGACGCACCATTTGTACCATTGCCTCCAAGAATTGGGCTGATAAGCGATGAAATTGAATCAACAATAAGTAGCCGCACCTGCGAACCTTTCTGCATTCAAAAAGGCTCTCCAATTTCTAGTAGAATGTAACCAAGAAATCTAACAACACAAAAAATAAAGAATAAAAGGATGACGGAAAGGTCAATGTTCATTCACCTGAGATCTCAAATTAAACTCTAGACGATGGAGCACATTCAACAACGTATAGATGTCAAACACAGCGTGATACACTATACTGTTCATTACTCGCTGAATAACTTTGTTCACCTACAAGAAAGATGACAGAGGAGAACATTAGAGAAGAACGAGAGGCTTTAATAAAGGAAGCGGACAGACATGCACTAGAAATCTCAAGGCCTCACGGTATAAGGCAATCTCACACACCAGTAACAAGAAAAGTTGCATTTACAAGCCTAAATTTCCGCACATTCCCACACAAATAAGCCTATTTTTCATTCTAGGAGGTGCATATATCAAGTTCACAGGCAAGTCAAGAAAGAGTGATTGCTATAGCAGCTATACATGAAGTTACGACACTTGTCCAGACCCAACTGCATGCAACTGGCCCAATAGTTGGATTAAAAATTGTAAAGTGGAAGGCATACACAAGCCCCCCCCACACAGGAAGTCTACTCTATGCTTCTGGAATATATTTTTCTGGATTGGGTTGTGGATGAACTAAAAAAGAAACAAATAACAGTCTAGCACGTTGATGCTTACTTCTTTATTGTCAGAATCTGAAATCTGGCCGACAATCTGTGCAATACGTTTAGGCGAAAAGGAGTTGCATGTGTCTAAGAACAGCACACTATCCAGATAATTCTTCGCAACGCTGGAGGCAGCTCGTAGGCAAACCTGAGTCATACAAGTATTTTGTATAAAAACACAATAGTGGCAATCAAAAGTAAGGTGAAGATTACTGTAATAATTTTATGCCCCAAAGATCACATGAATTCTTATAGAAGCATCTGGAACCTTGGTTTATTAGCACAAAATTATCATCTGGAGTAAAATCTTACTTGTGTTTTACCAGAGGATGATGGTCCAACTAATTCTGTAAGATGTCCTTCATGGAGTCCACCTTGAAGAAACATATCGATCCTACTTAACAAAAAATGCAATCAGCAATCTAGGTATTTTCATAGACTTATCATAGCCAAAGCAAATTGTGTATATTCAGGCTCAAGCAACCTTTCACACCCCATCGATAGTATACGTTTATTCCATTGAGCATCTTCCAGCAACTCCATACCATCTAGCCATGGTTGATGCAGGCCATCTATGATAGACAGGACCTGGGTAATTCCCTACTTGCCCACAAAAGAGAGAGACATATAGAGTACTCTCATATTTTGAAAATTCATGCTGTACTATAATACTAGGAAAATTTACATAGGTGTGTAGATTTTCCCAAACACCTAACCTGCTTCAATCTCTCTGAGGTAGAGTTTTGTTCTGCCAAAGCCACTAGCATATAAAGGTCATGAATGAGGAAATCCTCCACTGCAGAAGAATGAGACCAGATTAATTAAAAGGACAAAACTTGTCAGGTGAGCAAGTTTGTTTAAATACTGAAAAACAATGCCTATCAGTCTTCAATGAAGTTGAAACTAACATAATACAAGGGCAATGATCGTAAATCTAAGCCCTGCAAGTAGAAAACTAACCAAATGCATGCACCACATGGACATTTATTTCATTAATGTACACCACAATTTGTTGCAATAGGATCTTAGGAAAAATAAGGCTGGAGTGTCCCATGGAAGTCACAAATCATGACTTCTGCATACATCTTTTCTATCATACAAAACTTGGTACGTGTGGCAACTAAGTGCACATTTCTCACAACTCATGCAAAAACTAAATAAACAATTTAACATTCTGCGGTAATTTCACAATTATACTTAACCCAAACTTTGATGAAAAAAAAACTCAATCAGTTATAACCTTTTGATAGATTTAAAAGCCAGAACTTGTACCCTTCGTTTACTACCTCCAACTAGAATCAGATGTATTTTAAGAACTGCAGTAGAAGACAATTTGTATTTCAAATGCACTTACAAAACATTCACATATATCAGACCCAATGTTGGTAAGAATCCCACCCCTATCAAAATTCAACTTAAAACCTGCAATTTGAAAGTAAGGAATTATCCAGAGACAGCCGTTCTGAGCTCAGCCAGACTTGATCTCTCCAATTGATCATATTAGCACATTGGAAGTATCACATTAACAACACAATTATTGAGTCATTCCACAGGGAGACACCAGTTAACTTACATGGTACAAGATTCACCAGCAGCATTCTAATTAATATTGTTCTAATAAAATTCCTGTTTTGTTGGTTTCTGTTAAACAATCTTCTCCTCCAAAAGCTTAAATTGTTAAAAATAGTATAACAAAAGGATTTATACTTCAACATGCCCGTTAACTGCAGACTAAATTTTAGGCCTCGCATATGGAAATCTTTGAATAATTTAAGTGACAGCGAGATTCGAAGCTCTGATACCAACCATGTTAACTAAGCTAGGCCAAGTAGTGCATTTTCTGAGTGAAAAAGTCTTTAGTTTTCGTCGGTCACAATAAATTGAAAACCTAAAAGGTTACCTGTTTTATTCATGTCTTTTCCATCTGCAATCAAACGGAGAACTAATGGAAAATTTCAATAACTTCAAAAACGGAGAACGCAGAAGTTTTTCTAAGATGAAAAATACGCCTACTGAATGAAGAAGATTAAATACCAGAACTAACTGCTGTGAATGAGATTATCGAAGTAGGGGCATAGACAAAAATTCATGCAGAATTGAATAGAGTGATTTTTTCTCGAGAAAATGAGGAAGGAAAGGAAATGGGTGGGAAAGTAAAGACCTGATATAATCCCATGAGAGGCACAGAACTGCTGGAAATCGGAGTCGATTATTGGATACTCCCGCTCCAGAGATTTCAGTGGTGCCATCTCTCTCTCTCTCTCCCTCCCACCCTCTCCCCTGTGGTTACCTATTAAAAAGAAGGAAAAAAAAAACCCAATTTAGATGGTCGTCACGTGACAGCCTGTTAAACAAAAATTAGGATTAATATTTCTCGCATTCTTTTAAGAGTCGATCCCTCCCATTTTTGATATATTTTTAAATTAACTTGAACTACGATAACTGATTTCGAAGTTAACTGATTTCAAAGTTGATAACTTGAGAAAATAGTCGGAACAAGTGTTGACATCCTATAAGATTATTCCAAAAGATCAATGTTATTGTTACATAATTTATTGACATAATTTGTTGACCTAATTCACTATGACTTTTAGATTGACTGTGAGTTTTATTAAATATTAGAATTTAGTGTTGATCCAATAATTTTATTGAACCCACATCATTATACCAACAAATTATATCAAATTTTAAAATCCAAATAGAATTACTCAAAAAAAAAAAAAACACTCGGATCACCCTCCCATTGATGCAAAGTTCCAACCTAATCTAATTAGTATTTTCACACGAAAAAGAGAATGAATTATATTTTTTACCCTCAAAATTTTGATAATATTATTTTAACCCAAATCATATGGCGGCTTCACAACCAACTAATAAGACGACCTAAGAACATGTAATTGGAGCGTGAGGGTACAATATCATTGAAGGGGTTGGCTCTCATTATTACACGTGTTGTGACATTTAATGAGCCCACATGAGGTTGATAAGACAAGGCACGTGACGAAGACATTAACCACTCAGTCAAATGGGTCTAGCCGAACTAACCAATGTGTTCGACAAAATAACTAAAAAGCTCGACTCTCATTATGACCAAACTGTTTGAAACAGAGGATAAAAAGATAAGAGATAAGCCTTTAACTTTGGGTATTTTGTATGAATGAATCAACGAAATTGCAGATGTTAGAAGGAATTGTTGAAAAAATATCAGCAACTTCTCAAACTGAATCGCTGAATTAAAGGAAGGTGTGTCACCTTAAATCGGAAATCACGAAAATCCTAAGGGGATGACTATCTATAAAAAACAGAGGAAACTAAGGTGAAAGGGACACTGAACTCTCCTTGTGTTTCAACAATTGTTTCTATTCCATTACTGACTTAAGCATCAGAGTGTCTTCGATCGAAGCACTTCGATCTTGGGCAGTTTATTCGTTTTGCAGAACAAGAAGATTGGGAGATCAAGTTCAGAAAGATCATTTATCAGAAATATCAAATTCAATCTTTAGTGGAAGGTATTATCAATTTTTATCTCTTACATTTTTGGAGCCATCTGTGGGAAAATTTTCATCATTTGCAACGAAAGGCTACGATGTCAAAACTGAGAAGTACAATTGGATCTCCTGGAGGTAGTTTTGCCTTAGAAAATTTTGATCCAGTATCACTCTCATCTGGCAGCAACGCTAGCTTACATGTCACTAGAAGCCCATCTAGACCTCACGAAGACGATGAGATATCTTCAACTAATTTCAAACCATCCAGAGATCAAAATCAGCAGAATGTAGGTCGTGGGGAATACCTCCGTGCCGAGAGGGAGAACCACTCTTTGGCAAAGCTGGTCCAATCCCTGCAAGACAGGCTGGATGCACACGACAAATTATTTAAGAAATCTTACGCAAGGGAAAGGGACCTGATAAAGGAGAATGAAGAGTTGAAAGCCAGGTTGAAGGACTTGACCAGAAAAGAGAAGCGTGAGAGGAACAACCGACGAGAAAGTCCTGAGAAAAACATGACAGAACCAAGGATGATAGGGATGATAAGTACCAACAGAAAAGACCTCGGGTTTCAGAGAAAGACTCATGGAAGCAATATATTACCGAGGAACTCAACAACCACCTGAAAAAGTCAGAACAGAGGTCGACTAGGGACCTAGCCAGGAGAGCGACAAGGGGAATTCGGGAACGGCATAAAGTCATCACCCTTTACTTCATGGCTTGAAAAGGGGCAAATCCCGAGCAAGTTTACCGTCCCGAATTTCAGAATTTACGACGAAAAAACCAACCCAGCCTCGCACATCAGACATTACAGACAGTTGATGACAGTTCACCAAAGGAATGAGCCACTACTTTGCACCATCTTCCCTAACAGTCTTGGGGAGTCGGCCATGAAATAGTTTGACAGTTTGTCGAAGGGGTCGATAGATGGATGGTCGCAACTAGCCGAGCAGTTCATGGCTCGGTTCATTACGAGTAGTAAGTAGCCAAAGGATGTTGGGGCTCTACTGACGTTGAAGAAGAATAATAATGAAATCCTCTTAGAGTACGCTTATCGCTATTGGGAAACGATGAATGAGGTGGAATGATGTAATCCTGAAATTACAGTGGCGTCCTTCAAAATCGGTTGCCAAAGAAGAACCCTCTATACCAATCACTCACCAGAAGACCAGCCACCGACCTGGAAGAATGGATGGCAATGATTGAAAAGTATGTCAAAGTTAATGACGAATTATCCAGAGATGTAGTTAAAGAAAATCATGGCAGAAGACAGTTCGGTCGAGACAAGCAGAACGAGCCAAGCTGCGAGGGCGGAAGGAAGAATGAGAAAGAGGGCTATCTCCAGAAGTCCCCTTTTTTTGGGGTAAATACATTTTTCAAGGAACCGATATACAAGATTCTGAACCAAATCAAGGCGCAGCCGTTGTTCAAGTGGCCTAACAAGCTAACTAGAGATCCTTCAAAGAGAAACCTAAACTTCAGATGTTCATATCATCGGGATATAGGTCACATGATGGAGAACTGCCGATCTTTAAAGCAGCATTTAGAAGAGCAAGTCCAAGCAGGACATGTCACAGAGTACATCGAAGGTGGAGTAAGAATCAACGATGGCAGGACCGACCCCAAAGGAGATCACAACACACCAGCTGGGGTGATTGATGTGATCCACACTGCAACAAATTCGCAGATGTCTACAAACAACTCTACTGTGGCGTATATTCAAAAAGCTGCCAAGGAGAGAGAGGTCTATAAGTTACGATTGACCCTAGAGGTTATGAACAAAAGAATTATGGTGGAGATAGCCGAGGCCATCTGTTTCACCAAGCAGGATTTGGTCAGAGTTCATTAACCACACAACGACGCTCTAGTCATTACGCTTTAAATTGCTAATTACAATGTGAGAAGAGTTTTAATTGATCTAGAGAGTTCCTCTGAGATCATGTATATGGATCTCTTCGAGAAACTCGGTCTTAAGAAGGAAGATCTTAAGCCCTCAAATACTCCACTTATAGGCTTTAGTGGTAAAACAGTTATTCCTAGAGGGAAGATCACGCTGCCTATAAAGATTGGACCAATTTGTATCATGACCGAGTTCTTAATAGTGGATACGGTCTCAGCTTACAATGTCATAATGGGGCGGTCTTGGCTACATAAGATGAAGGTGGTACCATCAACATGCCACCAAATGTTGAGGTTCCCTTCATCTGAAGGGATAGTGAACATCTAAGGAGACCAGGTCAATTCCAAAACTTGTTTAATGGTCTTGGTCAAAGCCAAGGACGGAGCAGAGGTTCGAGAAAGGGATTCACTAGCCGAGGAAATGAAATAGCAATCAACACATGACTGCTCAGTCATTTCTACCAACCAAGCTATCACAAA